TGGGGTTGTCCCCCCCAATTTTGGGGTTGTCCCCCCCAATTTTGGGGGTGCTGACCCCTGTGTCTCCCCCCCAGCGCTGCAGCTGCCCCTGGTGAGCGAGGGGGGTCGGGGGGGGCCCCCCGAGAGCCCCCAGCCCGCGCCCCCCCCCCGGCCCCGCCACATGCTGGGGCTGCCCCCGCCCCCCTTCCTGGTGCCCCGCAGCGTCGAGAGGTGAGGCCACGCCCCCAAAACCCCATTGGCCGGCGGCCGCCCCACCCCCCGGGCCGCGGGATGCGATTGGATGGGTGGCGGGAGGGGGTGGGTGCTGATTGGCTGGAGGGGTGGGGGATCGTGGGCTCCGATTGGTCAGAGCTCCGGAGGTCGTGCGTGTTCTGATTGGCCGGAAGTCTGGACGATCCCGTGCTCTGATTGGCTGGAGCTCCAAGGGTCCTGTAATCTGATTGGCCAGAGGCCTGGGCGATCCCATGCTCTGATTGGCCAGAGGACTGGGCGATCCCGTGCTCTGACTGGCCACAGGTTCGGGGAGATTTTGTACTCTGATTGGCCAGAGGTCCAAGGATCCTGTAATCTGATTGGCCAGAGGTCTGGGAGGATCCCATGCTCTGATTGGCTGGAACTCCAGGGAGATCCTGTGTTCTGATTGGCCAGAGGGGTGGGGTGATTCTGTGCTCTGATTGGCCAGAGGTCCAGGAGGATGAAATGCTCCGATTGGCCAGAGATCTGAGCATCCTGTGCTCTGATTGGCCAGAGCTGCAGGGGGATCACGTCTCCTGATTGGCCGGGCAGGAGGCTCGTGCTGATTGGTGGATGTACAGCAGTCGGCAGGAGCTGATTGGTCAGAGGTCCAGGGGGATCCCCTGCTCTGATTGGCCACAGGTCCAAAGAGTCTGGGCTCTGATTGGCCAGAGGTATTGAGTGACCCTGTGCTCTGATTGGCCAGTTGTGTGGGTGTGTTCCTGTGTGCTGATTGGCCAGGATTGCAGTCTTTTCCTGGTTGGCCAGGCTCTCCCCGTGCCCCGTTCTGATTGGCTGAGCTCTCTCTGTGTCCTATTCTGATTGGCCGGGCTCTCCCCATGCCATGTTTTGATTGGCCAAGCTCTCCCCATGCCCCGTTCTGATTAACTGAGCTCTCCCTGTGTCCCATTCTGATTGGCTGGGCTCTCCCTGTGCCCTGTTCTGATTGGCCGGGCTCTCCCCATGCCCTGTTCTGATTAGCTGGGTTCTCCCTGTGTCTCATTCTGATTGGCTGAGCTCTCCCCATGCCCCATTCTGATTGGCTGAGCTCTCCCCATGTCCTGTTCTGATTGGCTGTTCTCTCCCCTTGCTCCCCCAGCATCGAGATTGATCAGAAGCTCCAGGAGATCATGAAACAAACGGGTTATTTGACCGTGGGGGGG